CAGACCTACGGTGCCGAGCGGGTCATACTTAGTCCCTCCGCCTCTGGGCCGCGCGCTGCGCGCTCCAAGCACGGAGGCGTCTACTTGATGCCGGGCTTGGTGTGACGGTTTTTATAGCTGAATGTAGTTTTCCCACGTACATGTGATAAAGAGAAGATAGAAAACAAAAATATTAAAGATGAGGGGTGGCCAAAAGAAGCTTGGCGAAGTGCCTAAAGACAGACCGATGATCTCACGAGGCAGAGCGTTCTTAAAGGAATTGCTTTGATATTCTTGCAGAGTCCATAGGGTGTTCTTGGGAAACGCACTCATCCTTTCCCCACAGCAAACTCTGAAAGTGCATTCCAACCTAACATAGCATCCTCTGCAGTCGGACCATCTAGCTATGCCGTTAGCTGAATGGGTGCCAGTGCCTGTAACCTGACGCTGGGGCTGCAGGTATAGCTCTCCACATACCTCTCTCTCGAAGTCTTCCTCGCTTCCCCTACCGGCAGGGACCGAGGCCAGGACTGTGAGTGTGTTGGAGCTGGCAGGGGTGGGGGATTGTTTCCTACAAGCATACATACAACTCTCTCCAAAAGGACTCTTACTGCACTCTTCCGCAATTTATCAATGAATTCTTTCCTTTCCCTTGTATAGCCTCAAGGAATATGATAGGCTAATGTTGGAAAAACCAGTTTTATAATCTCTTAGCACTCACCTATTTTCTGATCTTTCAGCATGGTCTAGTACAGCGGTTCTCAACCTGTGGGTCACGAACCCTTTGGGGGTCCAACGACCCTTTCACAGGGGTCGCCTAAGACCATCAGAAAACACATATATAATTATATATTGTTTTTGTGATTAATCACTATGCTTTAATTATGTTCAGTTTGTAACAATGAAAATACATCCTGCATATCAGATATTTACATTACGATTCATAACAGTAGCAAAATTACAGTTATGAAGTAGCAACGAAAATAATTTTATGGTTGGGGGTCACCACAACATGAGGAACTGTATTAGTTTGCGGCATTAGGAAGGTTGAGAACCACTGCTCTAGTACCTTGTGTTAAAGGCATTGGGGTACTTGGTACCTATTATATTGTTACTAGAGACCTGGTGCACAAAAATTTGTGCACTGGGGGGGAGGGGAAGGGGAGTCCCTCAGCCTGGCCTGTGCCCTCTTGCAGTCTGGGACCCCTCAGGGGATGACCACCTGCTGGCTTAGGCCCGCTCCCTGGGGGATTGGGCCTAAGCTGGCAATCAGACATCCCTCTGGCAGCCCGGCAGCCCTTGGGGGATGTCCACTTGTCAGCGGGGAGCAGGCCTAAACTGCAGTCGGACATCCTTAGCACTGCTGAGGAGGCAGGAGAGGCTCCCACCACCACCGCTGTACTGGCAGCCATCAGCCTGGCTTGTGGCTGAGCAGAGAGCTCCTCCACTGTGAGAGCGCCCTGACCACCAGAGGGCAGCTCCTGCATTGAGTGTCTGCCCCCTGGTGGTCAGTGTGTGTCATAGTGACCAGTCATTCCCAATCCTTCTGCTGTTAGGGTCAGTTTGCATATTACCCTGTTACTATATAGGATAGAAGCCTGGTGCATGGGTGGGGGCCAGCTGGTTTGCCCTGAAGGGTGTCGTGGATCAGGGTGGGGGTCCTGCTTGGGTGCCTGGCCAGCCTGGATGAGGGGCTGATGGCTGTTTGCAGCTGGTCACACCTCTTTCAGGGTGGGGATTCCCACTGGGGTGCCTGGCCAGTCTGGGTGAGGGGCTGAGGGCCGTTTTCAGGCTGACGGGTGACTGAAGCTCCCAACTTCTCCTCTTTTTCTTTCTTTTTTAATTCTGGATTTATTTACCTTCTATGGCTGTCACTGGAGCTGAGAGCCAGTTTTAGCTCTGAGGCTCGGCTCCAGCTCTGAGACCTCGGCTGCTGAAAGCAGGGATCTGGGTTTGTTTGGGTTCTATAATTGTAACACTGTTGCAGTCCTGCTCGCTCCAGCTCTGATGGCTGAAAGCAGGTTTCTGGGGTTTATTTACCTCCTACAATTGCAACATTGTTTCTTAGAGTGCAGCTCAGAGGCCCGCAGCGGCAAGCGGGGAACCTTAGCTTCCTCCTTCACTGGAGCAAGCAAGCCTCCAGTTTGCTTCAGCTACCTGGCTGCCGGCTGCCATCTTGATTGGCAGCTGGTTTGCATATCTCACTGATTAGCCAATGGGGAAGGGTAGCGAAGTTATGGTTAATTACCATGTTTCTCTATTATTAGATAGGATTAGCTTTTTGGAACTGAATAAACTTAAAAAATCACTTTTAACTCCACGGTATACCATTTTTTGTTCTATAAATATCAAATTTCTGCCCATTAGAAAACTGGAGGCATTTCTTAAACTATACCTCCATATCCCAAAATTCAATGTATCAAGTCCTGCCAACTCAGAAGTGTTCCTCAGTTTCCTTATATTAGTTTTTATTGTGACTGCCCTACTTTAAGCCTTCTCCTCCCACTTGGACTATTAAAAGAGGCTCCTCATAGGCCCTCCTTCTTCTGTCCTCTGCTTCTGATGTACTCCTGTGCTACCCTAAGAGTTATCTTACTAAAAGGGAAATGTGGTTACTTTTCCTCCTCACCACTTTTCCTTCTGGCATCATTCCAGTTTCCTGAATACATCCAGGCTTGTCTCTTCCATTCCAGGCTATCTTGTCCCACCAATAGAAATCTGTGAATCTATGAACAGCAAGCTCAAATGCTATCTTCCCCATCATTCTCAAGCAGAAATAATCGTGTTTATAGTACTTTACTGCATTCAAGAATGTTTATTGTGTTAGAGTTGGGTGTGTCCCTATTGAGCTTCCTCTTTGAGGAAAGGGAGTGTATTTTACACACTTTGGAGTTTCCTGCCTCTAATCCCAGCACTTAGCACAGTGACTTACATGGTATACACTT